TTGCCATATGTATATTGTTGTATTTATATTGATGTTCTCATTATATTGCTTCTTTGTTTTCTCTATGCATGCACCTGTAGATCACCATTTTTGGAGTATTATTTCTCTCAGACAGAGGACTTTAGCCATAATCCTGCTTCCAGTGAAGTCAGTGGGAGTTTATTTATTGACTTCATTTGGAGCACTTTTGGGCCCTTTGTTGAGGTTGTAAAGACAAACTATTTGCTTGTTGAATTAGATAGAGCTTCCAGCAACAGAGGATCTGACTCTATATATTCAGGTGCAGGGTGTGGCTTTTAAAACATGACCCATGTTGTGGGGCATACCGAGGGGCTTTGCTGATCAGAAAGGAATTCTTGATAGCTCAGCCAGAATTGTTCCTCTGAAGGCAGAAGAGTAATCCTACAGCAGCCGTTCCATCTTCCTTTGAAAAGATGCAATTCCCATCCATGACTGGCCATTTGTAGCTTCATTGTCACTCTGTCTCTCCTTGCTCCCTTTAGGAGGCTAGCTCTACTGATGACTGTCAGGAAGCAGTGCCTCCCTTCCACAGTGGGACTGTGCTCAGCCTCAGCACAAAGGCAGAAGCTGCAGGGAAAAAATCCTTGCTCTCCACTCTACCCACAACAGATCTGCTCAGGGCCAGGCACAAACTGGCTCTCCGTGTTTATCTCTGGGATTATAGCTCAGTGTGTATATGTATTGAATAAGCCATAAATGCCTATATAAAATATTGGTTTAAAAGTGAAATGTTAATGTGTTTCAGATGCCTTTGTGTTGTTTCTATTCAGGGCTGACAGCTCTGCATTCATTTAAATGCAGATGGACTGTGGAATGAAGATCTTCACATGTATTGTGCTGCATTCTCTTGGTCTAACCTTCTGTCGCTTCTGATTACAAGGATGGCCTTGAACAAAGTGAACTAATCACAGCTGAATTTACAGCCATGCTGACTGAAGAAATAACACCAAGAAAACTTACATGAATGACCCCCTTTTATTTCAAGGAGGCACTAACATTCCAGTTTGATTTCTAAGGCTAGTGTCCGTCACATTTATGGAATCAAGGAGAGACTCACAGAATCTTTTTACTTTGAAGATTCTTTCTTCAATCCCCTTATCTGATTCTTTCCTTCCTTTTGAGCCTGATTCAACAAAGTATTTAAGCATGTGCCTATCTTTAAGCACATGAGTTGTCTTATTGCTTGTATTTTACTGAATCGGGGTCTTTATCCTGTGTGGGCATTCTCTCTAATACCCAACTTCTTGTCACATTTTTCTGAGTCCCACAAACCTCCCGGCACCTTATGCTTTCTCTCTTCTAATGGTCCTGCTTCACATTCTGCAGCTTGTACAGCCCTTATGATGGAAAACTTCTAATCTATCAACATACTCGTGACATGGAGCTGCTGTCTACACCATGAAGGAGTGGTGTGTAGCCAACTGCAGAATCTGTGCAGTACAGCAGTGGAACATAAAGGCAGATCACTATCTGCTGGGGAAAAATAGTGGTAGATATTTGAAACAATGCGATAAATAATGAGCCAAACCCTAATGACCTTACACATTTTTTATTCTTCACTCGATAGTCTTTTTGCTAAGAAATGTCTAAGGATAAACTGAGTGAGGATCTTAGTTTGATCCATTATTTATTTTAGATAGTTATATGGAATATTTTTGAAATAAATTGGTTAGGAGAAATGCTTTGTTGACAGAAGCTGCAAACAAAACCCAAAGAAGAGAACATTTCAGACTGATGCTGAGGTGAATTCACACTCCTCTGCCTTTTCCCTTAGAGTCAATGTCAGCCTCAATTTTCAATGTCCTGATTTCTCTCAGTTTGTGTTATAACCATAACATTATTTCTATGTGGTTTATAACTTTTTATTTAAGACAAAAAATAATACTTACTTCAGTATCACCTGCCATTTCAGATATCACCTATATTTCAAAAAGTGAGTTTAGTTGCCTATATAATATGCTCACATCATCAAGTTAAAAGGGGTAAATTAAAATCTCCCAGAAAGCTAAACCTCTGTCTCCTGGAGGATTTGTATATCATTCCATGATAGTACCCTAAAGGAAAAACTACTTCTGCATGCTAGAGACCTTTCAGGGGAATGTAAGACAAACTGCACTATAAAGAAGATTAAAGATTTTGACTGGAAGGTTGGTGGCTAGAAAACAGTTCTGAACCTATTGGATCATTTTGTTTGAACCACTGAACTATGGTAATTAGAGTTACTGGGAAAGAGCATTCATATTTTAAGAGACCAAATTGCTGACTCTACTATGCTGTTTGCAATATGCACTGCTGATTTTTCCTTGGTTCAACAACATGCATCATCTCCTTAAGCAATGATGCTTTTTAATCTCATCTAAGGGTAAATACTGATGAAGCAAGTGATAGGTGAAGTTACCCTAATTTGCACATTGTGCTCCAAGAAATGAGCTTTATAAAACATAACACCGTGTCAACTATCTCCCTGTAAAATATCTGGCATTAACAAAGCAATTAATTAAATTAATAAAAAGCACAGCTAAACATCACCCCAAATTTTCTCTGTTGTGTTTTTGGTTATTTGCGATGGGGGTTGAATTAATGACATGTTTTTTTTTCACGTATCCCATTGATCTTCTTCTAACTTGGCCCTTTGGAGCTGGTAGAGACCATAGTTTTAATGTCACTCGGCTAAGCGTTGTTTCCAGAACATGCTACTATCAGCCAAGCAACGTTTTCTGATTCTAAATTCTTCCTCTTTATGAGAGATAGCTTTATGGGCCTGAAACATCAGTGCCTCGTGGCCATTTTAGGTTACCTTTGTCAGATCAAAATGGTTGAAAAGCAGCTGGAAGGCCTCGCATGGGGAATATAACTGAGGTACGGCTTACCCTAGCAAGCACAAGGCTGAGTGTGCTGGCTCTGAGTCCCTCTCCACACACACATACAAGAGGTGAGCTAAAGGAGGGAGGAACCATCACTGGGCCTCAACTCAGCACAAAGAAGACACAGCTACCTCTTTCCAATCTCAATGCCACACTCAGCACCAGTGCAGGAATGAATCACACCCAATATTTCCAAGGAAGACAACACCCAAGATGGATCTACCTACAATGTGGACATAAGTAAGTCAGGCAAAATATCTTACTTTGCCACAGGACTCTGTAAAAAATCCTTTATTTGGAGGTGCAAGACATTTGCTGAATCATACTTGTGGAGCTCATCTTCAGCTTCATTAATCTAGAGCCTGGAAACCTTGAATTTCTAGCTGTCCTTCAGAAAAGGAGTTTCTCTTGTACAGGAACTCAATATTAATCAATGGAGTCTCCTCTGCAGAGCACAAAGTCCCATTTAGGACACGTCAAATTTGTAGGCTCCAGAACTGTATGCCATTCTACTTTACTATGCTTTAAAAGAAGGGGGGAAAAACAACACATTTGTTTTGGATTTTTCTTTTGGGAATTCTCTCTTTAGTGAATATATAACAGCATGGAAGGCCTAGAGGTCCATTTTTCTCATTAAAAGACACATTAAATGTCTTTAAAAACCACATTGGAAATTGTAGCATAGCAGGTGATGTGACGGTAGTAAATTGTCTGTATCATGATCACATTGGGTATTGCAGTTTACCTATGTAAACTAAAGTGACCTGTCTTCAGCACTGGTTCTCAGTATTTTTCCATCTGGGAACTACAAACAACCTGTTGCTCTTGCTGCATTGCACTCCAATCTCCTTTGTGGCACAAAAGGTTGTGTGATTTGTGTCAAGGCAAGAAGCCACAGACTTCTTAGCTGCTGAAGTGGGGCGTACTGGTGCTGGTGGGGTGTGATGAGTGCTGACTGGGAGTGGATCCTGGCTTGGGTTAGTGGGGGGAGGTTGGTATTAGTATGTATGCTTCCTGATCCTCAGCAGCACAGTGCTCAGTTGCTTCTTAATGCATTGCTTCTCCCAGAGCTGGACACTGTACAGGTGGAAAGGGAACAGGAAGAAGGGAACAATGAGGAGCTGCTCAGTGACTAAGTATGTGAAAGGTCAGAACAGAGGTAGCAGCAGAGAATGGGTAATGAGCACTTTTTTCCCTCTTCTGATCATGCTACTGCTGGATCCTAGCAACAAGTGATTTTGCAACTTCTCCCTGCCACCCAATCAGTTTGATGGTACCCAGTGGGCACACCCCTCTGACTATGCAGCAGGTTACGACCCCTCCCCAGGTGAGATGCCCTGGTCTGCAGCATATCAAAATTTATTTGTGCAGATACTGTTAGGACTTGAGATACCATGAGCTGCAGAGCTATGCAGCACAGCCAAATGCAGCTTTAAAATGTATACCTGATTAATATTTGCACTTTTTGAAACAGGGAGATGCTTTAGAGGAAAAGGTAGTTTTTGTAGCGATGTTATTATAATTTCATATATAGGCACTGTTCTGCAATAGCCAAAAATATTATTTCCTTCTTGAAAGCAGCTTGTTGTTAACTATTCTTTTATTACTTGGATTGCAGTAGCACTGAGAGACTTAATCTGAGATCACGGCCTCTTTATGCTAGGCACTGTACTTCTAGATCAGGGATCTGCAACCTTTGGCCCGCGGCCCACCAGGGTAAGCCCCCTGGAGGGACGGGCTGGTTTGTTTACCTGCTGTGTCCGCAGGTTCGGCCGATCGCAGCTCCCACTGGCCGTGGTTGCAATTTCCCCTCTCCCAAAGTAGCCCATATTGGGCCAGTGCAGCCTCAAGAGTGGGCAGTGCAGGCTGGAGAGGGAGTATATATGGCCCTGTCTCTGTTCTTATGCAGTGCCTATTATCATGTTGTCTCTATACCTTTTAATTAGTGAACACAAAAAGATCTCTGGACCTCTTTCTCCTTTCCCCATTCCATAGGGATTTAAAAAATAATCCATGTTTTTCATGGGGTTACAAAGAGAAGGACAGATTGAAGAAGTGGGGTTTACGCTTTGTTCTGAAAATATTGAGATTCATGGCCTTTCTCTTCTCTTCTAGAATTGAATTCTCCATTCATGGACCAGTCACCAAGAAAACGGTGTGCTGCTCAAAAGTCTCACTCTAAAGCTGCTAGTTTCATTGTACTGGACTGTAGCTCTCATGGGAAGTCATGATCACACAGGGTGAGGCAGTCTCTCGGGTAACTTGAACCAAGCCTAATGGAGGCTTCTGAACATGAGGGAGGATCAAAACCTTGAATTTGACCCAATATTCCATGGGAAGCCAGTGAAGAGAGCAGGACATTGGTGTGGTGGGCCTCTCAATGGCTAGAGTTGCTTCAGTATTTTGAAGCAATTCATAGTGCCATCCCACCGGGATATGGAGCTGGTTGTCGTTTGCTCATTGGTGACATTTTAAGTCAGTGCTGCCTTGCCAACTCCCATAGCAGTTTCAGATACATGTCAAACAAGATGGAGGAGAGGATAGTTCCTTGTGGAATCCCATAGGTAAGCATATCCCACACAGCCAGTGGATTGAACAACACAGCATATCCTGTCTAGTAGACGACTGGGCCAGGATGCTATCTAGCACTGACTGAGCACTAAAGCAGAAAGCCTGCAGGCAGGTAATGGTAACAGTGCCTGTCCTCCTTTAGGGTGAGTTTGTCTATAGGGCTCAGAGATTCTTAACTGCCACAGGGAAAGGGAGTTCATACCTCCTGTGCCTACGTGATGGCTGCCAGGTTAGCTTTGGAGGTAAAAGCATCTGTCTCCACAGCTTTAGGTAAAATCCAGTTTGTGTAGCTGGTGACTGTAACAGATTCACATTCTCTGTGGATGAGAGTGGGACATGAAACACACATTGACCAGAGGTTATACCAGTTTCACTCAATATGATCTAATGGGAGTTTTATCTGCAGGACTGCTACCCCTGTATTCATCTCTATCAGTTTCTTAGCATTTTTGAAGCTGTATCTGTTACAATCAACCAAATAAAGTCTATTCCAAATTTCCACAAGACTTTGCAAGTGCCTGCAGGAATTTTCATGAATATTTAGGTGAAGGTAATTCAATATGATTGAAAATGCCAGATAATTTCTGTTTGTTATTCTCACCACTACCCTCAGAAGAAACAGGTAAGCCTTCTACCTGGTCTGCTGGCTCCTCATTGGTCCATATCACTTTCTGGCCCCTCTAGGCCTCTGGAAACTAAGTCTTGTTGGTAGCCCCAGCTGAGTGTGTGTGTGTGTGTGGGGGGGTTGGGGGCAGGGGAGAGAATGACAGGGTGCTTTTGTCTCCAGAAGAAGGCAGACAAGGTCTGATAGACTGTAACTCCTCCCTAAGGTAACTCCACTAGTTTCAGTGGCATTCCGCCTGGGATGGACTTCTCCAAGAGGGCTAAAACTTTCAGTCCTTATTCAAGGTCACATTGACTTCAGTAGAAGTGTGGCCTGGTTATACGGAGTGAGGATAAGAGGATATATCATGTTTCAGAGTAGCAGCCGTGTTAGTCTGTATCTGCAAAAAGAAAAGGAGGACTTGTGGCACCTTAGAGACTAACAAATTTATTTGAGCATGAGCTTTCATGAGCTACAGCTCACTTCGTCAGATGCATTCAGTGGCACCGATGAAGTGAGCTGTAGCTCACGAAAGCTTATGCTCAAATAAATTTGTTAGTCTCTAAGGTGCCACAAGTCCTCCTTTTCTTTTTGAGGATATATCATGTCCTCCCATGTCTAAAATTTCAGAAGGGCCAACGTTAGGTAGAGAGCTCTGCTGACATGGAGCTGTGTTGTTGCATGGAATTATCCAGTTAATGGGAGTTTATGGGGCTCAGATCTGCCTCACTCTTGACAGAGTTAATGAGGTCTGTGGTCCTCCAGGGAAATCCCACCTATCTTGGATCATCCAGGGAAGGCTGGAGTATTTGTGCAAAGTCCAGGATCTCAGTGCTACTCCTCAGTGCAGAAGGGCATGCACCTGGGCTCTTTAGCTGCACCTGAATCTCAGTTAAAGTACATGGAAACAGATTTGGTGCTCTCACTGCACCAGCCAAGGAGGAAGGAGACCTGGAGAGTGCTATTCCTCAGGCCAAAGGGAGGTGAGAGCTCTCTCTTTGCAAGCAGCAGAGGAGGAGCTGGCCTCCCTGTTACTTTAAGCCCTGCTTGACCCACAAACCTCTCTCAGGAAGGGATTGGTAGAGCAGAGGGGACTCCACATCAAAATGTCCACAGTATGTTACATGGATAAATTCCTAAAGGTGAGCAGCAATCCAATGCTGTATAGAGCAGCACTTCCTGGTCCCCTGCCCCAATCAGCCATTTCCCTCCAACCCCTTCCCTGCTACATACCATGCTTGGAGTATGAGGGATGTGGAGGCAGACAGTAGATTATTGAATGAACCCAACTGCCCACATGCCTTTCCTTTGAAATTTTGGTAAAAATCCTAATCCTTTTATATCCCATTCAGCAAATCAGCAGACTAAGGACTGCAAGCTTTGCACCAGAGTACTAATTATATCAGCTTATACTTTATAAAACAGAGCTCAGGTACAGGTGAGAACATGCTGCAAGAAAATCTCAGACACACATGACTAGCAAAGTAGACAAGCTGACACTTGGAAAAGAAATCGACAAGTCACAGCTTCTTGGGCAGAAAAAGTGTGGGAGAGAGTGTGCACAAAGACTTTTTCTTATTGTTGTTATTATTTCACAAGTATCACATCTGATTCAATTGTTTCTGTAACATTATAAATAATGCACATAAAGTAACAAAACAGTGGCCACAGTGTAAACATGACCCTGAGTGAGCTTTGCCTATTCTAGAGTCGGTGGGGATTTTCATCTGATTCTTTCTATTTTACTTAGTTTAATCTATTTTTGGGGTTTATATTGCCTCTCATCCCCATAGCAGTGGAGTGCCTTCCACATAAAATCAATAGAAATAGCAAAGTTCCAAAGTCCCCATGGAGTCTTGGCTCTTACCCTTTTGGGGGTCACAACTCTGCTTGTTTTAATTTAGTTAGTGTTTTGGTTGATTGGTTTGTTAGTTACAGGTTTTTCTATTTATTTATGTATTTTTAGGGGTGTGTGGGGAATTTGGGTAGATGTGGAATGCATGGGTGTCAGTTTATGCTGCTCTCTGATGTGATCATGCATTTCCTGTTCCAATAATATGCTATATGAAGGATCTGAGGGGAGAATTTGGACAATGTTTTTTGTCAAAGGTAGGCAAAAGGCAGCAGTAACCTTGTATGTGCAACTCATTATATTTCATGGAGTGAAGTTCAATGTAAATCTCAAGCTGAATTCCAATATTCCTTTGGTTTTGGCCAGCCCTAAATTGCCCTCTATTTGCTACATTTATTTAATTAAACCTATAAGGAGTGGCTCATCAGTCTTCCCTGGCATTCACAACATGAATTGCTAAGATGAAGGATAGGTAGATAAATGTCAATGGAGCAAAGAGAAAGCAATCGAAGAACTCTTTGCTCATCTTCCTTTGTCAGAAAGGAAATATTTCTTTCTAAAAATAATAGAAGAAGCCAAAACTGTGTTTGAGTTGATACTTAAATCCCAGCCTTTTCATTTCTTGGAGTTCAATCACAAGAAGATTACTCATTTGTATAATTAAAGTAAAATGTGGACATTGATGTAATATGTCCTTCTAGGGGACTGACAGTGCCTATGATTAGAAGTTGGCAGCAGGCCACATGTAAAATGAATGCAGGTAAGCTTAGGTGTTTTTTTCTTCCTTGTCTACTTCTCAGAAATGCCTCAAATTGACACTAATTTGATAGTTTCAACTCCCAAAGCCCCAGCAGATAGTGAGGGTGGAATGTAAAATAAATTCTCCTTGGTGTCAGTCAGTAACTTTTTCTTTTCTTTATGATACAAAAGGTGATTGACGGGAATAGAAGCACTGCTCAGTGCTACAATGGTGTCTAAACTGCAAGCTAGATTGATAGGCAACCATTGGATTTTTTTTCTCTTTAATTTTGAAAAGCAATGATAATGAGCAAGATGCAAAGAAGAGTTCCTTGATAGATTTGTTTAATAACAGTTTTTCTTACCTGAATGATAAAGAGTACCATAGTAATATACATTCAAAATGTTAACCCATTAACCAAAGTTTCTTTCGCTCTCTCAGTCTCACACACACAGATTTATAATCTGGCCCCATAGGTTGAAAAAAAAAATAGCTGACAGTGAGGTATAGGATTCCCAAACCTGCAGACTCTAAGTTCAGCCACTACCCACTCTACTGATATTAATGTGTCAGTGTTTGTACAAGGGTTTGAAGGGATGAGGTTTGATTTGCCTCCACCAGCACAGGGTGTGTGTGCAACTTGCAATCACTCCATTGCTCAGTGGGAGAGTGGGGCGTGCTGCCCCTCAAGGAGGATTCTCCACTGGGAGCGGTATTTTGGAGGGCAGCTTTAACTTTCAGCTGTTTCTCTACAGAAGCCTCACTTTGATCAGCACATTCCTCGGGCACTCTGGCCGTGCTCCCTTCTCCAGTCAGTGGTACCTTTGTAACAGTAACCACATTTGAATCAGGAAGAGATGCCACATGAAGATGAATAACATCTGCCATGTAGGATGCACACTTAGCAATAAAATAATTTGTCTAACCTCAAGAAATGCTGAGGAAAACATACAAAGGGCAGGTTGTCCACTCTGACCTCCAACCTAGGTGTCTATTTGTATGATTTATTAATTGATCAGTTTGCAGTGATTATTTTTGCTCATGCTGTTGAATATTGTTATCTTTTCCCTCTCCTGAAAAAATAAATAAAACAAATACGTCCTTCAGAAACTCAGCAACATTAACAACCTCCTTATAAATGCCATCCATGCCACCAAACTAGTGACACCTCTGTATACACCAACAACCCTCACCAAACAACAGAATTGCTGACTGCCTGAAATATTTACATGACATTAGACACCTCTCATGCACCCCAAACTCATCCTTTTCATCCTCACCCATAACAATCTTACATTCAACAACGAACACTTTCGCCAAACTGTAGGAACAGCCGTGGGTACTCGGATGGCTCCCCAATATGCCAACCTAGAGGTCCCTCTCGAGAAAGAATTTCTGGAAGAAAGCCCTATGAAACCAACAATATTTCGAGAGATGACCTAAACTCCCTCATAGTTTTCCATGACAACTTCAACAATCATGGCCATTCCATCACCCTCTCTTTAGGACACTCCCACAACAGCACCAACTTCCTGGAGACATCAAGATTTGGCTGTTTAATTCTGAAATATGTGTGTTATTCAGTGGCTTGTGCATTACCTCCTTGCTCATGGTTATCACTACTTTAGCTTCCTAATGTTCTGCCAAATCTTGAGGTCCTCACTCAGTCAATATTCATGCAAAGCTCTTGTTGATTTCAGTAAGACTTTGCCTGGGCAGGGGCCTCAAGATATATTAATTTACTTCAAAGAATTGCCTTTACTCATGCGAACTAGGGTGGAGGATGAGAGTGTAACAAACCCCCTACTCTTTGCACCACACACACAATGATCAGCTACAATCACAGCCCATCCTAGTGCCCTGCTTAGCTACAAGTCTCCATAATGTGAGAAGGATGAGGCTGGGCTCCTGCCCTATCCCCAGTCTGCAGCAGCCAGCAAGCCAGGCACAAGGAGGAGCCTGGTGAACTCTTAGAAGGGGTGTAGCAGCAGATGCACGTCCCTGTGATGGTGAGCACAATGCCTTCCAGTGCTTCTGTCCCTTATGCAGTAGCGTTCAGAAAAGGCACAGATGAGTCCTTGTTGTACAGTGTGCTGCAGAGCAGATTGTCTACCTCAGTGGTTCTCAAGCTAGGGCTGCTGCTTGTTCAAGGAAAGCCCCTAGAGGGCTGGGCCTGTTTGTTTACTGGCTGCATCCACAGGTTTGGCAAATCGCGAGTCCCACTGGCCGTGGTTCACCGCTTCAGGCCAAGGGGGGCTGCGGGAAGCGGCGT